TCAAATGAGATCAATTCTTTTCTGAAAAATGGATTATACTGTACTCATTGAATATTATAAAATTATTTTAGGATTAATCACATATTTAGTTCATGTATTCTTGACATTTTTTAATATAATCATTTTATTTTAAACATTTTTTTAATATAGCTATTCCGATGAGATTCCAATCAATTTTTTAGTGACAAGTGACAGGTGTACTATCACATCGGATAATAATGACACCTGTCAAAAAATTAATTTTGAAAAAAATATTTATTTTTTTTAGTTTCATTTCATTATTATTTTTATTTAAAAAATAATAATATGCAGTTAATCCAATTGCTTTAATATAGGATAATATTTTTAGTATTTATATCAATAAAATCCGTGTAATATACACAATAGTTTTTAACATTTAACGGTATTTTTGCTGTCACAAAAACATATAGTCATGGATTCGAGGGTTTGGACCCTTGACAATCCAATGTCTTCTTCATTAGCAGCAGAGAAAACAAGGATGGAAAGTCTTAACCCTATCTTTTTCCTTCTCATCGCTTAAAAAAGTTCAAACACTCCTTTGAACTTTGGGGACAGTTGCGCCTATCAACCTGCTTAGCTCTGCCATTATTGGCTCAACTCTCAGGTTTGGTAACGCTTCTCGAGCAAAACGTGTATAATCCTTCCATTTTTTTTTCCAATATCGAAAGAATCAGAGATCTGACCAAGAGCCAAGGAGAGGAGTGCTTGATCGAACTCTCCTAACGAGTCACCAAAGAACTTGTGACCCTGTGGTAATTGTTTTTCACCATAATATATTATAAATTTAAATCTTAACATAATAATTATATTAAGAGTTTTGAACGTATAAATTGTAAAAAAAAAAAAAAAAACTCTCCTTAGGAGTCGCTCACTGCCACTGACCAAGGGCGTATTCGAATCTCAGAAACTTCAAGTCCACGCCTGGCCCATGTGCAGCGTATGCATGGTGGACCCTCACTTTAAATCACACAATACCAGAAAGTAGATAGGTGGGTCCAAAGCCTTTTTATAGTTCTCCATTATCTGGCCCAAGAGGCTCCTTCTGTGGCCCATTCTGTTAACTATATCAGAAATATGTCAGCGTCTAGAATCTGATTCAAAAAAGAAAGAAGAAAAGGGCAAACAGATGCAGTTTATAAAAGGGTTGAGAGCAGATAAGATTTGAATTTTGATGAAGAAATCATTGCAACATTGACATTTGGACGATGTTCTTCCTTATACGTTAGGAAAGTAGAAATGGGTTTGGTTTATTGGCCGGCAAGCGAAAACCCAAATAAAAATACCAACTACACTATACCCTATTGTTTGCCTCTCACCTTGTCTTCCTGCATATTCATTGGCAATATTAATGAAAGTGAGAATTGACAAATGAGAAAAAAAGGGGACTTTTGGTAGCTAGACATTGTGCCTTACAATTGTCCAAACAAGCATGAATTTAGGGCAAAATATCAGTATACTGTAAGTTCAAACTCAGACTCGTTAATCCCACATTTAGGCACATTCATCGTTTAAAGAAGTCAATGTTTCCTTGGACTCTCAATTTTTTAATCCCAACAGGCCATAAATCTTCACAAGATCATCACCAAACCCAGGTTTGTAGGGTCAAAGGTTGACAGTGGCATTTCGAAGTTCAAGACAGTAAACACATTGTCCTATGCCAAACTCTCAACAAGAAAGCAATCAAAGAAGTGGTTAGTTCCATTGTCTCTTCGGTAATATAACGCTTACGATGCCTATTCCTCATTAATATAGTGTGGTTAGAACTTAAGTGCAATTTAATACTACCTATAAATAGACTATAGGACTAGACAAGACATGATCCATGAAGTAGGACCAGTTAAAGATAAGTCTCTTCATCTATTTGTTTTTACTGTTGAGCTAACATAACAAAGAAAAATAGGAACAAACCCCACCAAATGTATGGCTGGCCACCTTCAAATTTCAAACAAAAAGATATGGTCACCTTTGATATGATAAACTAGCTCTCAAAGATTCCTCATGTGATGGATTACTTGAAGAAAAAGAAGGAAAAAAAAAAAAAACCCAGCTCCTCCACTTTGATAGAGAAAAAGATGGTTATCATGTACTGAGAAAAGGCCAAAATGTTCAAAAGGGTGTCACCAATTCAAAACATGGGAACGATAGGAAATTTCCCTTTTGTTACTTTCCTGTGATTTCAAGCAACCTCACATGGATATTCAAAATCTTCAGATTCCAAAAGTGCAAATTAATTATATTCAGAGGGAGAGCCAATCTCCAAAACTTTCCTTGCCTGATGTAACCCGATTCAGTACTGCCAATTAGCCACCAAAGGCATGGGAAAGGACTGTTGGGACCATGAAACCATGAGACAGTGGATATACTTTTAAAATGTTGCTGTTATTTTTAGGGTTCTTAGGGACACTAAGTCTAGCTTGTGGGGTTGCTAACAAGGCGTCTGGTTCTTACAGATCAGAGCAAAAAAGTAAAAGCGTTCAGTCCCTTGCAGTACAACCGTTAGACCATAATTGCATTCTTGTATACAGCAAAGAGAAGGAGATACACCAAGGGGTCCATCGAGCTTTTTGAATCTTGGTACTGACTACGGACCAAGTCTTTTCGTAATGTTTGCTTATTTATTTATAGAAAATTAAGTTCATCTTCAGCTGGATCTTAACCAGGCCAGCCCTATAGAGGAACTATAAAGCGAGTGGGCTTCAGACACCATGCAAATAGCTAGATACCCTAATTGAGTAAGAGTGCTCCAGTTCTGGTGTCACTTGGTCAGGTTCAACATATACATCAGGTCTATACTGTTTCTAGCTAGTTTCATTAAACCCTTTTGTTTTTAGAGTTAATACAAACTAGTGCAGCACCAATGTAGGAAGAAAGAAACATAAATCAAGCCACATGCATCCAAAGTTCTTGAGACAAGATTTTGTGTACAAAATCAAGAGTATTGATGAATAATATTTTGCATCTCCCTCGTTGTCATCCATCACTTGTTGGCAGAGATTTTAGATCTTGTGCTCACACAATGATGCTACCAATTTAGCTTCATATTTCTTCTATTGAGTTTCATATGTGAACGAGGAATTTTACACATATTAGTAATAGAAGTTTGAGGTGTTTATATAGAGGATAGATTTGTAACTTTTTAGTTTAAATTTTTGGGTTAAGATGAGTCTATCGTCGCGTATAAGCATTCACTTGTGCAGGTGCACATAGCATGTGCCGGAGTAACTCTCCGGGGCAAGTTCTCCCCAACATCTTCTGTGTAAACATGACATTGAGAATGACTAGAATTGTTAAACACTGGAGGGTCGAAGTGATCCAAAGAGACTTCAGCCAGATGTAGGGTTGATATATAGATTTGGAATTCTTAGATGTTGTTGTCACTAATAAAATATCTACGACAAACAATAACTAACAGTCTATTTTCACCATCTATATTCTATTCTGCTTTATTTCATCACCTGGGATCCATCCTTACAAATAATTAATCCATTGTGTGTTCTTATGAGCTTTAGTCAGATCAAATTCACATCACATATGCAGAGGATATTAGTCGTGAAAAACAATTCATTCGCATCATTTGAAATGAATCTACTGATTTACACAAGTTTTATACCTACTTCTTCTGTTCAATGTATGACAAGAAATGAATGCACATGAAAATCTTCACTAGATTGGCTGGAAAGGAAATTGGAATCTATTTCAAACTAAAATCAGCAACAAGCTCATATCTTTCAGTAATCCTGGAATCCACCAAGGAATTGTGTTATTGAACCTCTTCTGAAGGACATTAATTCCATATGTGTTTTTTTAGTGCATTGCTAGTAAGTTTCTATTTTCATTTTCCTGAAATTCTCTGTACTTATTTGCTCATTTTGACTAGATAATTTCAGACATCTGCAAAAGGGCTGGCTGTTAGCCAGTGTTAAACAATACATATGATACGATGGTTAATCTCAGAAATACAAAGAGTGATGATCCTTTGGATCAATGGCTTTTCCCTATTGACTATATAATTATTCTTAAGAAGACACATTGGGAAAAGAATATGCCTGGATGTTGAGAGTATCCAGACAATTATTGCTATGTGATTATATTAACTTGATGTTTCAAGGTGACTTGCTCCCTTCTATTCTCAGGAAGTGCATGTGTTGGACCTGGGAGCATTTGGAACACATGGAGCTGGAGCAGTGTCAGGTGCACAAATGTGAAATTGTTACAAGAGTATATATAGACAAGAGTATAGATAGAGGAGGTTTTGAAGAACTGAGAGCAAATGGCATAAAGAAGAAACCATTCCAATCGTTATTCAAGAGAAATCTGAGCATCCACTAAAACCTCATATCACAAATTCCTTATTGTCTTCAGAAATAAAGATTAGGGTATCTTTAGAAAAAGAAGACGGAAAGCATATAATTTCTTTTCTTTCCCTCCAGTTTTTTTTTTTTTGGTCAATCAAACAGAGCAACCGTAAGCAAGTCAGCTGCAACGATTTTCAAGTATTAGAACTTTATCGGCTAGGTTACCGCATTTTGTATAATTTCAGACAAAGGGAAAGTGTTGGTTATTTTCAAGATGTTTCCAGCACTCCAGTATTGCAGTTCTTATCAGAAGGTTTGGATTGATTATGGGATCTGCCCACCCTTCTAATAACCATCAAAATGCAGATATGTGACTTTTAATGTCAATACAAAATTCAAAATGCTGAAGAAACCAATTATATTATGTGCAAATAAGAGCATTGAAGTGAGTACAGCAGCATTTGACAAATGCAGACAATATACACTAGCATGCAAAAACTAAGATTTACAACAAGAATAACCAAGTCTGGATCCCAAACTAGTTGGGGTCACCTATACAGATCCTTTTGCGCCATTCCACATGATCATGTGCATGCAAAGCTAAAATTTCTGACAAAAAAAAAAAAAAAAATTACCAGCAAATCTTTTAGGCTGCATCTCTATTAAACTGAATTGTCTGAACCATCATAATGTTCTGTTGGCTTCAGTCATTGACCATGCATTGCTTCTAATCATTTTTTCCACTGCGGTATCCTCTGAACCACAACCTGATACAACCACAGGGATCGCACTTTATTAAATCTATCAAATTCAGAATCTTGCTAAACTATATTGTCCTAAAGGCTGAACATTCCTATTATACTATCTGAAAGTAAAATCACGTGTCTTCAAATGGGAGAGTTTACAATGCCTTTGAAAGCATTACAAAAGGAATGACTTTTACAGAATGCTTTAAGATAGTGAGAGAAGTTTTGTGTATGGTCACAGAATGGCAGTGCAATATTTCCTAACATTGTATAAGATGAATAGAGCTAAAAAAATTTCTAGAAAGTTGCAGAATATTATTGCAACATCACAGAAATTTTTGCATAAAAAAATTGCAAGAAAGGAACAAAAATGTGATATAGGTATTTTAATTACACCGCCTTGCAGGGCATTGTAGAAATCACGGTCTTTAAATTACCTTCTTTTTTTTTTCTGCAACGCTCAAAGCATCATGTGCTAAAAAAATTTATAAGACGTATTTTGGGAACTCCAATGTCCGGAGTATTGAAATCCGATAAATGCCATTACCTTGCCAGAGTTTTCTTTATTTCCAACAATTGTTTGACATGCAAGCCTCCAAGATTCAGGTTTCTGCACAATTTCAGAGTGTAAAGATGAACACTAGAAGGAGTCTATTGCCATAAAATGTTAAGATGAAGATAACCATTTTATACTGCTAAATATCAAAGCAAGCACCAATACTAAAGGAAGGAGGAAGGTGAGAACATCACATTCACATGGAGCAGGTCTGGAGCTCAAGAGTTAACATAGTGCATCATTTTGATTACCTTCGTGCATAAGAGGCAGAGAGAGAGAGTATACCTTCTTCAGATACCGAAGTTCAGTATTTGTTCTTTCATTCAAAAGATCCTTTCCATCAAGAATCTGCATGAAAAGGACATTAAGATAAAAAAACAAGCAACAATTCAACTTCAACTGATGAATCAGAAGACAACATAGAAAAAATGGGTTCAAGCAGAAAATTTTGGCCTCAATGGTTTTGGTCATGAAAGTTATCGTACGCATAATTGCACAGATGCCATCATTCAAGAATGGAAATACATGGCAATGAAATTATCAGATGTCTGCTATTATTGACTTGATGAAGAGATACCTCCAGAATGATAAAAGCTACAAGATAAATGTTAAAAAGGAATACCTCCACAATGCAAGTTCCACAGCTTCCACCACCTCCACAGTTCATTACTTTCCCCTGGTGGAACCTCAAATTAATACCAAAAGAAGAGTGAAAATGTAAAAGTAACTACTTGAGACACAATTTGGCAGGGAATGTATGTGCAGATGGCCAATCCATTGTCAAAAAAACAAAAAGAAATCGATCCAAAATCAAATATACTTAGACTATAGAATGCATGCCTGTAATTTCCCACTACTAAAATGATTCTAGGAGGTTGAAAGATACAAACTTACATACGTGGCGTAAAGCTCAATCTTGTTATCCAACATGATGTTCCTCAACAACTTCTCTCCACTAATTGCTTTGGCTCTCTCTACCGGGTACTTCCCATCGGCTTCTGGCTTCGGCTGCGCCACCGCAATAATCAGAACCAAAAGATAATAATCATGAAAGAAAAACATGTAATCTCCAGAACAAGATATTCATACCCCAATAAATTCGAGCTCAATTTCAGGCTTTTGATCAGTAACACTCGCTGAAGACTGCATTGAATTAGCAGCAGAAGCAGCGACAGAAACAAGTCTCTTTCTTGGCACAACCTTAACACTAACACAATTCCCACATCTTTTTCCATTACCATGTGATAACTCTGGCATTCGGAGTGATATCCCACCAAGATTAATGGCAGCCATTTCTCTCTCTCACTTCTCTTCTTCCCTTGAAATTTTCTTCATACCTCTCTGCTCGCTCTCTATTTTAACCAAGCACAGAACTTTCTCAATCTTTCTTTAAAGGGTATTGTCGTAATTCACAAACTATTAATTTTGTGCTCTATATTTTGCCACCTGAAGGACATCATCGATTGTTAGGGCAGAAACTAACAAATGAAGTCTCTCATTAACTTCCACAAAAACACAACTTCACTTTATGTCTTTCTAACCACCAGAAAACAACCGTATAACCGCCACTTCTCTGCCGTGTCCTCCGCCCAATCATGGCTGTCCGAACAAGGAAACCCTCTAATCAAGTGGCCCCACAATCCCAACTTGGCCCCACCACCACCAGAAAACCAGCAAAACTCCTCTCCAACTCCAAACCAAAACCCTAATTACCGTCAAAATGATTTATTTACCCTCTGCACCATCCTCAAAGACCCCAATATCCATCCCGGTCCATCCCTACGAACCGCATTGGACCGGACCGGTATTGAACCGGAACTGGGTCTTATACAGGCAGTATTTGACCATTTTGATTCATCACCAAAGTTGTTACACAGTGTGTTTCTGTGGGCAGAGAAGAAACCTGGGTTTCAATCCTCCGTGACACTGTTTAATTCAATGGTGAATTTGCTTGGTAAAGCAAGAGAATTCGATTCTGCCTGGTCCTTACTGCTCGATAAGATTGATGGGCATGAAGGAAGGGATTTGGTTTCTAGTGATACATTTGCGATTTTGATTAGAAGATATACTAGAGCAGGTAATGTGGATTTTTTGGTTTTTTGTGATACTGGGCTGTTTTTCGTACAATTAAAGTTTGGAACTTGTCGTTTTGTGTTGAAATGGAAGAATTTTATATGGTTTTGTAGCTACCTTTACAATTTTCTGTTAGATACACTCTCTAGGTAATTTCATTGAATTCTGAAAGCTTTTTGTGATGTTAGATTTGTGCCTTTTGAATAAAAACTTGAGCTTGGTTTTGATTTATAATTAAAAGTTGCTTGAATATGTGTGTTATTGACTGAATGTCTAAATTTGGATTCAATTTGGAGCCAGCTGGTTGTTTGGTGTTCAAATTCCCGAACTTTGTTTGATTTTGTGGCTACCAGTTACAATCTTCGTGTATTTGTAGTTGGTCCAAGCTTCACTTCTTAATTAACTTATAAATTATTGGAATATTTGAGTTTCGAATGGAATTTGAACTAGTACTAGTGAAATTTCATGTTTGAAAGATTTTGTGGCTGGCTTTGATTTGCAATTATATCTTCTTATTGTTGTTTGATTTGTAGTCACTAAGTGGTGCCGCATCTGTGCAGGAATGACGGAAGCTGCAATTCGAACATTTAAATATGCAAGCAGTTTAGACTTGATTTGTAATTCTGATGCTGGAATGAGCTTGTTTGAAATTTTGTTGGATTCGCTTTGTAAGGAAGGGCATGTTAGGGAGGCTACAGATTATTTTGATAGGAAAGTGGAAAAGGACTCATGTTGGGTTCCATCAGCTCGGATATATAATATACTGTTAAATGGATGGTTTAGATCAAGAAAGCTCAAGCATGCGGAGAGGCTTTGGTTGGAAATGAAGAAGAAGAATGTGAAACCGAGTGTTGTAACATATGGTACACTGGTAGAAGGATACTGCCGTATGCATCGTGTTGAGAGGGCTATTGAATTGGTTGATGAAATGAAAAGAGAAGGGATTAAATCAAATGCCATTGTATATAATCCCATTATTGATGCATTAGCAGAAGCCAGTAGGTTTAAGGAGGTCTTGGGGATGATGGAGCACTTTTTTCTGTGTGAGACAGGCCCCACTATCTCCACTTACAATTCTTTGGTAAAGGGTTACTGTAAGGCTGGAGACCTTGTTGGGGCTAGCAAGATCCTTAAGATGATGATTAGTAGGGAAGTTTTCCCAACCCCTACAACTTACAATTATTTCTTTAGGCATTTTTCTAAATTTAGGAAAATTGAAGAGGGGATGAACCTATATACCAAGATGATTGAATCTGGGTACTCCCCAGATCGACTCACTTACCATCTTTTGTTGAAGATGTTGTGTGAGGAGGAGAGAATGGACTTGGCTCTTCAGATTAGCCAGGAAATGAGAGCTAGGGGATGTGACATGGACTTAGCCACTAGCACCATGTTGACTCATTTGCTTTGTAAAATGCAGAGATTTGAAGAGGCATTTGCAGAATTTGAGGACATGTTACGGAGAGGTATAGTTCCTCAATACCTTACTTTCCATAGATTGAATGATGAGTTCAGGAAACAGGGAATGACTGAGCTGGCACGGAGACTGTGTAATCTGATGTCTTCTGTTTCACATTCAAAAAATTTGCCAAATACATATAACATTGATAGAGATGCATCACGACGTGCAAGGAGAAAATCTATATTGCAGAAGGCAGAAGTAATGTCTAAAATACTAAAGACTTGTAATGATCCTAGAGAACTCGTTAAGCTCAGAAGTTCACCTCAGAATCCTGTATCAAGTGCAAATCGGTTGATAGAGGATATCAATAATAGAGCAAAGACATGAAATCTCACTCTCTAGACGGTAACAACCCTTCAAAGGCATGTGATAGGGGACTTCAGAATCAGTGTGGGAAAACTTTTGTTACTGTGTTTATTGAAGAATCCTGTTTCTAGAGGTGAATTGTTTGGGACGGAATTAAGCAGGATTGTTTCAGCAGACAAATACGAAGACAACTTCTGCAAATACAAAAGCCTCACCGTGTGCAAATCAGAATACAGCCAGACAAATACGAAGCAACTTCTGCAAATACGAAAGCCTCAGCATGTGGAAATCAGAATACTGGGTTGTGGCAAATGTAGAGAATGCAATAATGAAAAAGATAATGAAAGGTAGCTGGATGGTAATGAAGATTGGTCGGGGAGCTAGAGAGCAAGATATTCAAGGATTTCAAATAGATTCTTTGTGCTGCACCTTTCCACAGTTAATGTTGGAAGTTCTTGGGGGTAACTTGTTATTGATTTTACCAGCGCATCTTGCGGGTAAACTACTGTTTTTTATCCGGCCAAGGAATGATGTTTCACTACATCACCTTTTACACGAATGTCTTTTGAACTCAAACATCACTGCAGCTCCGTGTTGATGTTCATGGTAGATGCTTTCAAGTTGAAGTTTTTGAGTATGCAATACGCTTGTGGAGTGGGAATCTAATACAATGATGGACTTGAGTCTTGACAAAATTTATGGTCCATTTAGGAATATTTGAAGGGTGTAAGGAACACCAATCGAGAGTGACACAGTCTTAAGTTGTTCCTTCACCTCAAGATGTGACTGGTTAATGTGACTGGTTATTATTGGTGGGGTCTTACTATTCTGTTAATCACCTCACTATTAGGGTGTTCAGAGAAAAGGATGCTTGCTTTCAATAATTTATAGATTAGTGATACCATGATGTAGAAAAGAAAGGATGCTTTCGCTTTCGCTAATCGGCTATAGATTAATAATACGGAAATATTTTGTTATAGTGGTAGCTAAAAAGCTGAAATGAGATCAAACCTTTTGAGGTTGGTGGATTTTTCTTTTAAAAAAATTGAACTCTAGATGATGATGTCTAATTATGAGGGTTCTTATCAACATGGTTAGGATTTTGCAATCAGATTAGCTAATCTGAATGCGAAGTAGATGTCACGCATGACAATCTGTGGATTGGTGGAGAAAGACAGGCTTGGGAGGTTTGTGGTTATCGAAGCATACATGTAGATCTTTGTGAATTCCTTCATTTGCTACGTAGATTTCTGCCTAATTTGTGGTGCTTTGAGCATGGATTCCTCTTTTTCTGAGGAGTTTTTTTTTTTTTTCGTTCCAAATTAAGATACTTTAAAATCTTATTTATAAAAAGGAGGCACTTTAAATCTTATTCAAGAAATCAGGCTTTTTTTTTTTTTTGGCAATGTAAGCTTAATTATCCGTGCCATTTTAAGGTTTTTTTTTAATAATCAATAAACGCCGTTATGAAAAAAAAAAAAAAAAAAACTAATCCAAACAATTATATGATACTTTTTATTTATGTGCCGTCAATCTCTTTCTAAAAATCAATCAATCATTCTAACAAGATAATAAGATAATCATTAAATTATTTTTTTGTTCAATCCATATTTCTAACTAAGGAGATAAACAATGTCATTAAACTATATATATATATATATATTTTTTTTTATAACAACCTCATTGCTACTTTCTCCTTTTCTTTATCTTTTGCTCTTTCTCCCTATGGTTAGGGGTTTTTTAAATCAAATTTGGAGTTAATAGATTTTTTGAACTCCAAAAATTCTGACTTATTACTATTGATTTTGGTAATTCATTATAAAATTAATGTAAATCTACCAATTAACTATTGTTGACCTTCTTTCTGTTTTTCATTATCTTTTCTCTGCTTCTTGCCTTTTGTTTTGATACAAAATACTGTTGAATGTATGAAGATTTTTTTTTTTTTTATAAAAGATAGAGAATTAAGCTATATAACATCAAGGTAGGTTGGAAAAAAAATTATTTATTTTATTAAAGTTTATAATCTTTAGGGTTTTTATAATTTTAGATTGAGGTTTAAATTTTATAACACAAAAAATTTTCTCTTTCCAAAATTTAGATTGATGAATGATAATATACAAAAAGAGGTTTTACTAATTTCTTAATTATTTTTTACATGACATGAATATTATTTTGAAAAAAAAAATGACTTAGATTTTTCATGTGGATCTTATATGGCATAAAGCGTATTGTTTTGAAGAATAAGAGAGAAAAAAGATTCAAAAGTGCCTTAGTGTGGAAAAAAAAAAACTCTTTTTCTTAGTCTACTGGGTTCGTTCTACACGGGGGCAAGGTTTCTCTTTTTCATCCATTTTTCTAACGTTCTATTTCAAGTGGAAGTGACAAGCAAAATTGCAAGAAAAACTAAGATCATTGCTGGAATTCGATTTTTCTGTGCAAAAAACAGTCATTATAAGTTAAATTTAATCCCAAATCATTTACCAATATCTCACATCAATTAGAAATTAACCTTTCTCTTAAAAAAAGGCGGTTTATGTCAAACTTTGAAAATGTTCTTTGACAATGAGAATGGGGTTGGTTTTCTTGACTTTTTAGCCATGTTTCGTAGATAACCAAAAGATGAAAATAGCATTCATACGGATCTCATATTAAAATATTCAAAAGCTTAAAAAAAAAAATTTAATTTCCTTTTCCTATAATATTTACAATTTATATTTCAAATATTCTTTTATAACTATAAATATAGCTATAGCCCAATCTCTAAATTAAATTGGCCGATTAACTATAAAATGGCGGTTCTTCGGTAAATAAGTGTTGACTTGTAGGATGAGTTCAAAATTCGATTCTTGTGATCGGCATTTCGAGAATTTATTCTCAAAATACCGAAGTCGTGCATTAGGGAATGTCCTTTAGCCACGTCCGATGAAGAATTAATCTTAAAGTGTGTAAAAGTTGATTCAAATACACCTTTGTTGTTGAACTAGGAAAAAAAAAATTAGCTGGTAGATTCTAGTATTCATTTTAACTCTGCTGTAGCTTATATATTCCAAATTTTGATTTTTTTTTGTTTTGTTTTTTGATAATAAATTTTGTAGTTCTATTTAAACAAAAGTTGCCAAATTGGTTCAAAAGTAAAGTCGCAAAAAGGTCCTATAGTGGAAAAATAAGGACAACTAATGATGGCCTTGTTATGTTACTTTATTTTGCTATAGTTAATGTTTTATGATTTTATCCAATAATGTAATGATAATATAATGTATTTGTGTCATACTGTGGGCACCTACATATATGTGGATGATCATTGCCCACTTGTTAAAACACCTGAGAGACCTGTGTTTGTCACCAAAATTAACAATCTGCCCTCGTAATGATCAGAATATGGAAAAGAAATGCATCTCTTTTCACTGCTAGCTAGTAAAGACACATTTACTTATTTACTTGTAAAAAAGAAATAAAAAACTAAAGTTTAGGTTTTTGATGCTTCTTCTTTGTAGGCCTTCTTGCTGCCTCCCTTGGATTGATTAAACCGAAAAGGGGACAGGAGGAAGAACCCAAAAGGGAAGGGAAACAGCTTGTAAGTGTCGTCCAAGAAAAGGTTAATTTATGTGGCTAGTCTATGAAGATTGAAGAACAAGAAATGTCTTCTTGATAAGATACAAATTAGTTTTACATTTACAACCATAACTATTGATTTTCCGGTATTTTATATATATATAGTCAAGAGTATGATTTGGTCTCCTTTCAGACAAGGAGGCTTATTTTTTTCTTGGTCGAGATTTTAGACAGGTATTTCCACTCAAGACTGATGTATTTATGAGCTCTTTATTTTTTTCTTTTTCAAAAACCTTAAAAGTTAAATTTGTTTTTATATAATATTCAAATTTTTTATCTGTTTTTAGATTTTCAATTACACTTGGTATGTTTTTATTTTTTAAAAAAATATTAAATTTATAATTTTGATCTAATTTTTCGATCATAAATATTTTTTGGTATCAAAATGTTCTTTACTAAAAAAAAAAAAACCTTAAAGTCACATGATATGTATGTTCTATTTTTGAAGTCTTTAGAATTTTTTTTTCATTTTAATCAAGGAAATTTCGAAAAAAAAAATTATAATGTTCGAAATTTGATCAGAAAAACAAATTAAAAATTTTAAACACTTTTAGAAATAAATAAAATCCAATTAAAAATCTAACGATATATACGAGAGATTTTAAGTTTTATATAAAAATATCAATATATTTGCCGAAACACAATTATCCAACAAAATCCACTTTTAGGCTGGAGTTGGAAAAATATATATATATTTTTTTTTTGACACGAAAAGTTTACACTCAAACTTGTAAGAGGTAGGTGAAATAAATCACAAACAAGCATGTAATTAATTTAATAAGACTATTATTTGAGACAGAAACCATACACTTGAGACTCTTACATGTCATTGATTGTCTAATCCAAATCATAATCTCACAAGTTATTATCTCAGCTTACCAATAATTGATCCCCTTAATTGTGGGGGTAAAGAGTTAGGAAAACATTACGTCTCAGGTGGTAAAAATTTGGTGGGAAATGAAGGACAAAACGGTAAGTGAGGTTGTGAGGTGCTTTACAGGAAGGGCATGCACTAGGGAGCGGGAAAAGGACGGCAAGTGTTTTGGATTTGGTTAATGATGGAAATGGTGGCAGCAGTCAACATATACACTTGAAGAAAAGAGAATTAATGCTTCAATTCCTCAAAATTTATGCCTTTCTTCTCTTAGTGGCCATTACTCTCCAACCACAACCTAAGCTTTTATTATCACCCACAAATGCCTTCCCACCTATAACCCCATTCTCTTCTCTTTAATTTCGTAGTCATATGGTATTTTCCAAAGAGAATTCCCAGTGCTGAAACTACATTTATCTCTTCATTAGTTTGTATCTTGGGATTTGAACAAGCTGAGCATGCTTCCTGACCATTAAATTAGCCCTACACAATATCATACCAGTTTGCCTTTTGTTGTATTTGTTTTGAACATCATCATACCTTTTCCATCCCCTCATGAGAATTCTAATGGATTGTGCAGTGTTGTGACACTTTTTTAGTTCAGAGAGTAGACTTATGTGATAGAAAATTATATAAAATTATGTACAATGTCTTATTAAATAGTTTAAATTTTTGAATCGAAATGGGTTTTTTTTTTTTTTTTTGCATAATATTAAAATTTTATTGACCTTCAAATCTCACTATCTTCATTTTTTTTAGTTAATTAAATATAAGATAATGTGAAAATATACAAGTTTTAAATATGAAATACAATACGAACAATTAAAATTTGATATTATGTGCATTTATACTTTTGTTAAGTTTTTTTTTTTTTCACCATCTCAATACTAAAGTATGATTTTGCAATTCATTTTCTTATTGTCTGTATTGGCTGACTATAAGGCATGGAGAAAAACATGAATTGCATACAAGTAAGTTTGGTATAGCAATTATTTATTGGATAATTTTTATTTATTTTTAATGAAATAAGATTCAAGTTTTAGCGTTTGTAGTTTCTCAATTATAATTATATAGTAAAGAAGGATATAGTTCAAGATCTATAAGATTTTTTTATTGAATTAAAAAGAATAAAGTATGAAACTTGTAAAAACAATTTTAAATGTTTCATAAGATTATTAATTTTACCTTTTTTTGAAAATTTGAAAAAGGTTGAGGAGAAGAAAGGAAAAAGAAAAGTGATGAAAGTTATTTGTCTTTGAGAGTGCATAGTAAGAGGGACAACGTTGGCATAAATTCTAAAAAAAATAATAATAATAAAAAGAAGCATACACACAGCACCTTTTATCAACTCCTTAGATACTATGCACCCAAGTATCAAAATGCTCAAATCAAACCAAACGCATTCGATTGAAACCATGAATAATGCAGTTCACAAATCATTTTCACGCATTATAAACATTAAGGTTCAAAATTTAGGCCAAGAAAAAAAATGCCCATCATTTACTGTAAATATCTTTTGATATGGTAACATGGGTTTTTTTTTATATTTTTTTACTATTATTAAAAAAAGCATAGCTATAGCCAAAAAATGATAATCCATTGACAAATAAACGTCGATTTATAAATCAAGTAAAAAGTTTGATTCTTATATTCAAAATTAAAAAAATAAAAGAGTAGCTTTTTCTCGCTACTGAGATCAGCTCCTTCAAAGCAAATTTCAATAATCAATCGCTGCCGTCGAATGATTCATTACCTCTTTTTTTTTTCAAGGAGGTTGGCGCAAAGAAAAATTGTATGTGACAATATTTTCATCAAGTTATATAACGACAATCTTGCTTTGACTTACACGAACATGTGAGCCAAAATACGTGTAGATGGAACATTCACAAGGGACTTGACTTAGTTTTTTTTTAATCTCTAATCAATTTTTAGAATTAATAATTTAAAATGTCACTATATAACTAAGTAATTTTTTAATATGTCATTATATTTATAATTGAATCAATTTTATTATTAAATATAAATTAAGTTTTTAATATATCATTATAATAAGATTTTCGAGTTAAAATCACCAGAATTAGTTATATGATTTAAACATATAGTTTTTTTGTTTAATTTTTAAGAAAATTTAGAAAATACAAAATAATAATGTGTAAATGACGTGATTGAAAAAGTTTGTTATAAAAATAGATTAGAAATTTAATAATATATTTAATGATAAAAATAACTCAATTAAGGATATAAGTTTGTTATATAAGAAAAAAATTGAACCATTACTCCTATGTTTCATAATACTAAATTCATTTTCAATTTAGTTATACGGTCTTGAATATGATTAGAACTTTCGGTCGGGTTTATGGACTTTCCTATGATTAGAAGTCATTGATAAACACGAAACAAAAACACGTGGGCAGGAAAGTTGAAAACGTAGGAGATTACAACCATGCACCCACGCAAAAATACAAATTGGAGGGATCCCTAAAAAAAAAAAAAAAAAACACAAAACCCTAACTCTGTGTTTGGATATTTCCTTATTGAAAGAAAAGAAAAATAAGAGAAAAAAAATTATTTTTCACTTTTTGTTTGGATAAGAGTAAAAATGAAAAGAAAGAAAATATATTTTTCTTATTTGGATAATTGTAGAAAGAGGAAGAAAAAAAAATTATATATTTACTATAATATCTCTATTATTACATTTCTATATTTAAATACTTATAATAAATTTGTATAAATAAATTTATATGAATATTTTTTCATTAAAATTACACAAATGATAATAAAATAAAAATCTAGCATGTAACATCTATCCGAAATGACAAGATGGATAATGAATTGTCTCAATAGAATAATCTATAACTCGTTTACTAATTAGCATGTCACATAAAATTAATTTCTTAGTTTACTAATTAGCATGTAACACCTGAAATTTAGCATTTTAATTTTTATGACTTCTAATTAATACAATTATAATAACATTATATAGCATCATATAACTTTTCTCAATCAACATTATTATCGTGATAAATCACACACAAGACATTTAATGAAAAAGAAAAAAATGTATAGCAAATAAACTAATCATTAGTTATTCCTTCCTATACGTAAAGTTTTTTTTTTTTTTTAAAGAAAAAAAAAGTGTAAAATTAGTAGAGACAGCCTTGAAGTTGGGTGTAATTAAAAATTAAACTACAAATTTTTTTACAGATGAGTCTGGGAAGACAAAGGGCATTTACTGGTCTGAGTAGCTACTTTAGTGGCAGCAAGCAGAGGGTACAAAATGACCTCTCTCAGTTTAAAAAATTAGACTCTGGGAGGGATAGATGAGGCAGAGGGCAAAACTGAAAATGTATATATTCTTGATTTTTTGGGCTGCGTTTTCTCTCGTTTTCCTCTCAATTTTAGAAGGAAAATGAGTCTCACTAATGCATGAAAAATTTTATAATATATAAAAAGTAACTAGTGACATGTATAGTAGTTACGCCTTGGATCTACTTTGAGGAGAGAGATAGACATATAAAAAAGAGAGAAATTACATCTATACTTACTAAAAATGATAAGAAGATTTTCACGTATGTTTAAATTTTTTTTATTTTCTTTCTTTTATTTCTCTCTCTCTTTGTGTGTCTATCTCTCTCTTTAAAGTAAAGTCGAGAAATAACTATTATACATATCACTAATTATTCTTTGTTTATTATAAAATTTCTCAGCCTGCATCGTTTGTTTATTCTTATTTTTTTCTTTTCACATATTTCTTCTCCAAGACAAACGAAGGAAACTTTTCTTTCCACCCTTATTTTCTTTCCTGGCTATCCGAACAAATGGTAAAACAAAAGGTCCAATAGCAGTAAATAACACGGCAAAACCCCTCTTTCCTTTGCAAGGACAAAGAAAATCAAGCACTCTCTTACACACAACATTTATACCTTTTTTAAAACAAACCAACAAACCCTACACACATTCAGACATAGAGAGCCAGTGAATGCAAGAGAGAGAGAGAGAGAGAACAAATAATAATTAAACAAATAAAATTGAACAATCCTCCTCCCTCAGAGAAAGACAGAACCTTTTGCTTTTTAATGCTCTCTCTCTCGTAAAAATTCAGTCTTTGATGCCTCTCTTTCTCTCTCCCTCCTTCCCTCTCTTCCTTTCTTGAAAATCGTTCTCTCTTTAGTCTTTACTCCTTCTCTCTCTCTCTCTCTCTCTCTCTGTCGAAAGCTGAGGAGAGAAGAAACCATGAAGGAGAAGCTTGACATGAAGAGGAAATGGCAGTGTTAATGACAATGGCCCAACAGAGCAAAAACAACATTGCCAGCAATAGCCATAGTAACAGTGTTAATGTAAACAACACTACTGCGACAAGCCAACAGCAGCAGAAACAAGAAGCGAAGGCAATGTTTCATGATTTCTTGGGCATGAAAGCAAATACAGATTCACCAGTTGTTTTAGCTCCAAAAAACAAAGATGGGTCTCCTTCTGCTTCTGCCTCACTTGGGGCTTCTTCTGGAGGCGGCCGTGGACCTCTATCTTCTACCTCTGATCTAGCTTCTGGTCATTACTTGCTCCACAACTTGAAAGCTTCTGTCTCTCTTTGTGTTTCTTTTGGGCCTTATCGGTTAATGGGTCCTTTTGATTTCTGGTTTTCACTCTTCAAGGAATTCTCTTTCTTTTTCTCTATTTTAGTTCATGGGTTCTTTTTATCAAATTATGTTTTTATTTTTTAGTGAATTTTTCCTTTCCTTTGGCTATTATCAAGTGAAATGGAGGTCCTTACTATTTTCCTTTTCTCTATGATCTAGTGGCTCGTGTGTGTGAGAGAGTTTAATGGTCAGTCTTCTTTTTTTCACTGTCATGTAGAGAACACTATATATTTCAGGTGGTGGGGTGGGTGTATTTTTTGGTTGATTACTTTTAGTGAGGTTGTTAGCTTTGGTAGGTTTTCACTTGATCTCCTCCTTTTATTTGATTAGTAAACTCTTTCTTTTAGCGGGGAAAGTTTCATTTGCAACTACTTGCCACTTTTTCTGTGTTACCTTCTTTTCTATACTAAAACTGTTTCATCTGATAGATTTTATGCAAATGTGGTGTTTTGTGGTTTTCTTTACTCAAATGTTTTTTCCTATAAAAGTATGAACCAATGTTGAAAGTGTTCATATACGTACTCTTTTCCTCTCAAAATTCCACATTGCAAGTTGAAGAACTGAATGAAGAATGTCATATGCATTTAGGCAATTATGCATTTTCGTCAAGATATGTTTTCCATAACTGTAGGTTGTACATGTTACTTTTCCTTTTGTAGAGATTTTTTCATCTCTCAATAAAATGACATTACTAAGGTTGAACTTTAGTTGTTGAAATTGCTTTATATTTATTATTGCTTTAGTTTTCTGGTATCATGATCCTACCAATCAATTTCAAAGTTTGATACTTGTTCATTGATTTTTATAGAAAGGCAGGCTGGAAATCATCTTGAGGGGATTCCATTTTATGGTCCAAGGAGTGATATTTCTGGTCCTGAGATAAGCAACAGATTAGCAGGAAGTAAGCGGAGCAATTCAGATTCTGCCTTTACAGGACCAAGGGATGGGATTCCCCAAATGGCTCATGATTCCATTGAGAACCTGCATTTGATGAAGGTGAGCTTTGAAATTTAATCTTGTCGTTTGTCTTTCATGTGGTTTGCTTTTCATATTGAATTTTTCATGTTGAAATTCAGATGCTCAAAAATGGAGGTGGTGGAGAGCGGACTAGGAGGTCTAACGACGACGAGGTTTTCTATTGTATGCAGTCAATGAGGCCAAGTTCTGCGTCTCTTCTACTTCAACCTTCTGCTGGAAATAGACTCGATGCCAATGTTTCCAAATGGGAGCGATCCATTCCCATGGGAGTAGGTGCATATCCTCCTCGTGGTGGTCAATTTGTTCCTTTTACGCATCAAGTTCCCACAAACAGATTCAGAGATACAAATGCTGGTCCTTCAATTATCTCTCAATCTGCTGCCGATGAAGGTTCCAGAACAGGAATTAAAGGCCCTGGAATTCTGAGCTCTATAAATGCTGGCAGCAGTATTTCTGAGAAAAATTCTTCTGGAGGGCTGCCTAGTGGCAGCAAGCCCAAGACTGGGATTCATAATTCAGAGCCAGAATCTTCAAATCCTTCAAGGTGAACTATATAATATAGGACATTATCTTCTATGCTTCTCAATGTTAATTGTTTAAAATTCAAGCTAAATTATTACCCATTAAAAGAACTTGAGAATATATTTCTCTTGTTTCCATGGCAGTCGGCAGGGTTTAACATCTGCTAGTCGCCAGATGACTATATTTTATGGTGGTCAAGCTCATGTTTTCGATGATGTCCACCCAAACAAGGTAGGCTTTCAATTTGTTTGCTAATAAAGAATCACCTGTTTAAACTTATTGGTTTCTACAGTTTCTTGGCCTGAGAAGCTTATTTGACATGCTCAATCGAGACCTACATCAGTTTATGCTTGTAAATCACCTAGAGAAAAATGCATGTGATTGATAGTATCTTGGTCGAGTCATATAAAAATTGTAGTTGCAGCATTTTTTCATTAAGAATGTGAACCTATGCTCAGGGAAGCATTTCATTTTTTCGTTAGCGCTGGTCTGCAAATATATTAAAAAATACCATATTCTGTTATTTGGAAAACAGTTCTCTGTTGTTTGAGCTGTGCAAGCGAAGTGAACCAATTGTGATTGACCTTACAGTTGGAAACATGTCATATTAATATGTAAGGGATGGCTTTCTTAGGATTTCTTTGTTCACTTTGGGGAATACAATTCCAGATGGCCAGATTCACCTCTCTGCTCGAGTTAACAGTTGACTTGGATACATGTTGAAAATAGCAGACTTCTCTTTTGATTTAATTTATCATACAATGGTCGGAAAACAAAACAGAGCTCACACTGATGCCTAGGTAATGATGCTGCAGTTACTCAAGTGAGAAAATCCTACATGTCTTCCATTTTGGTTAGGAAAGCTCCTGTACCATGGCTTTTCAATCTGTAGTTAACAAATTTCTGAATTACTACTTTTTTGTGTGGGAGGATTACTTTTTATACATTACATGGCAGTATTTTCCCTTAATGAACAGAGTCGCATGAGTATCTATGTTTCAAGTAGTCCCTTTTCCTTTAAAGTGAGCACATATCTATGTTTTAACCTTCCAAGCCCCAACTTTTTTTTGGTATTATTGTATCAGCCATGTCTTTTTATGAATTCTGTTCATCTTAAGTTGCTTATTGTGTGTTAATACAATTGGAATGGTTATTCCTTGGAGAAGTTTATTAGAGGATTGATATCACATCATTCACTTTACTTACTCTCTCAACTTTGTGCTTCCATTTTTGCACCTGTTATATTCTCAGAAAAGCACATTACTACCATTCATTCAGTCATCATAGCAATCTTCCAACTGGGTAAAAATTGTATGGAAATGCTACTTTATAGTGGTTGTTAGGGCTTGCTAATGTGTCTTCCTCATTCTCTAGTGTCTGTCTATCTATAATGTTTTCTGTAAATCTGTCGTCGGTTTACCTGTAGCATAGCATATGTGCTTACTGCTATTCACTTTGTGTTCTCATCATGATAGCATTTAAATTAAGCAGTGAAGTGATTCATAGTGGTCTCTAAGAACGTCATGCTTTTGATTTATCTAGTCTTTCAATATGCAAGCTTCCATTTTTGTAGTTCTGCTTAAGATAGCCATATTGTGTCACAATTGTCCTGATCGTTTTTTTTTTTTTTTTTTTTTTAATAAAATGCATCTTCTCTTTCTTGAACTGGTGAAATCTTTTCATTGCAAGTTTGAATATTAAAGGCTGCCCATCATTATGTATAGAAATTCCTATTCCTTAATGATGGGTGCTTTTCCTTTCTGCTAAATCTTTATGTGGTCCCTGTAGGAACTCTTTCTATTATTCCCGTTTATAATTTCTGATGCTTTAACATGCTTATGAATGACAATATTCATATTACTTTTGTTCACTTTTTTAAAAATCCTGGCATAAGATGCTGGGTAGCAATCTTGTGCCAAATACAAGCTTTAATGTTCTGATAAAGGTACCAATTGCATATTTGTCAGCCTAGCTTGTTTCTTTGCTGTGAAACCTGTCTCACAAGAAGATTACTAAAATTGGTTTCCTGTAGACTTTCTGAGGTAAATCAGATAATACTTTCTGAGATCCATTTCTTCCTCTTACCCGCTGCTTGCCAAGGCCTCATAGTCAGAGCAGCCGAAATTAACAGGAATCCTTCCAGATTAGGGGAATTTGTGCTATTGTTTTCCTTTGGTGTTCAACTGCTCAGTTACCTACATGTTGTAAAAGTATTTATCTAATAATGTATTGCCAAATCAGCGCATGAATGCCATGCCTTGACCATTATGTGCTGTCTGATCTATTTCAGGCAGATGTTATAATGGCCCTAGCAGGTTCAAACGGAGGATCATGGTCAACAACCTACTCACCAAAACCCACTGCAAGGCCGGGTAGTGAAAGTTACGTGACAAGCGGTGAATATGAAGCAGGTGCGGCAGCTAACTTGCCTTTCCCGCGTGAATTCCGCGGTAGGCTATCAGTCACTGGCAATGCTACTCAGGGAGCTGGCCCTAGTGATCGAATCTCTACGCCAACAGGTGAATATTTGATTTTTATCACCCACAATGTTCTTTGCTCTTTTGAGTTAGAAAATGACTTGGTTAAATTGTTTTTTTTCCTCTCTTTTTTGTTGCAATGATTGTTTGCTAATCTGTAGGAGGTCATCACGGCAGCATTATAATAGCTAGAGAGACAAGAAACCCAGTTCAGGCAGGAGAACCCAGCAATGAGGAGAAATGAGTGGTCTAAAGTTGAGAATCCGAAACAGTCTTATTATTATTTTAGACAACAGCCTGTTTAGGAAGAAAGAGCTCTTTTTTTTATTTTTCTTTTTTTTTCTAATGCTTCTTAAGCTTCATTCTAGTCCTTTTTTTCTTCCTGTTTTTTTGTTTCTTTTTTCAAGAAAGAGCTAGGGGAAGGGTGTTCTTGTGTATAGAGGACTTGCATGAACTATTAGAATCATAACCAGATGCAGCCATGACCAAGCTTTTGATATTAATCTAGGCTGTTTATCAATTTTTCAAATCGAAAAACTCGTTTCTCCATATCCCTGTAGGCTTAAAGTCACATTTGCATCCTTTTGAAGGATTCGATGAGAATTTGGGAGAATATATTTTCTTCATGGAAAGAAATTTCACACCTCTGGCCCTTTTCTTCTTTTTCTAAAACAACTCAAAAATGAACCTTCTTCTTCCCGATCATGAACCTGGGCCGGTACAGGTACAGCATTATTTATCCTGCTAATACCCCGGGCCAAGCAGCAACATGATCCTGCTTATTGTATGCAATGGGCTTCTGGTCCGGGATCTTTCACGAGATATGTGCATCTATAAGGCCCAAATTAGAAGAGGAAATTAATTAGATAAATCGGAGACTTGTCCGGGTCAGCCCATATGACATACAGGCTTTAATACAAGATCAAGGGATTGATGCCTTAATCTGTAGCATTAATTTCGCATTTTAGCAGATTTTTTTTTAATTTATTGGGCCTTTCAGCCCATGCCAATTTCTTTTTCCTTTTACAAAATACAAAAACAGTATTTAAACAAACACAACACCACACGACACCACGTCCACAAATCTTTCCAACTTTGATCATTTTAAACCTACCCACTTTCTCTCTAGCTCCCAGCACATCCTCTTCCTTTCTTTTCTCCAATACACAGGATAACAACTCGTTACAATTTACAAACTCTTAGCCCTAAATAACCATTCATTGGATGGCAATTTGAGTTTTTTTTTTTGGTGGTTTTTTCGTGAATTTTTTTTAAAATTTTTGGATATTTATATGCAAATTTAATATTCTTTTCTATTTATGTCCCTAATGTTTTTTCAAAATATTTTTTATTTCTCGTATTTTAAAAATGTATTTGTGGTCTTTAAACGGGGAGGGGAGAGACAAATAAGGAGAGATAAAGTTTTTATTAAGCTAGATTCTAGTTGTTTTTTCGCCGATCTTGTATTCAAATTATTTATCTTTGTAATTAAAGTGTATTCAAGGTCTTTTCAAGTTATAAAATAGCTAAATTAGGTAGATCAAAGCCTAAAAAAAATAAGTTTCTGATTTAATTTTTTTTTTTAATTCCTTATGATAGGTTCTAAAAGAAGTTTTTCAGATTTTCATTGGCGGTAACAGTTTGTAGAGAAAAAAATTATATTTTTTAAAACATGTGTAATATTATATTCAAAATTTTCAAATTATTATCTTTTTGCCTTTTTTTGATGAGGCAATTTGGAAGACATGAAATTAACTAAAGAACACTTTGAGATTAATCTTTGATTATGGCGCCTAATAACATCCACCGACCACCCCGGTGTTGTTCTAAAAATAAAAGCAGCAAAGTGCTAGTCTTTGCCTCCACTATAATGCTGTAAAATGCTAATTTGAGCTCTTTTTAAATCCTTTCAATTAAATTTTTTTAACAAAAGGTCTTGTTATAAAATACGTATTTTTTTCTTTCTTTTTCAATGTGGGATAAACATCCCACTTGAAAACACTCTCTTCACCGCACTTATAACTTATTATCTATTCGAGACCATGTTTTTCTATAAAACACACACACACACACAATATATATATATATATATATATATATATATATTATTTAAAATTGATCATTCAATTTGTTGATTCTTATAAAAATTCTTATTAAATTATATTTTTAATATTTGTTTTTATATAATTTTTTATAATAAATATGATTTATTTTTCTTTAGGTATGGATTTCCAAATTAGTTTTTTTAATAAATAAATAAATATTTTTTAATAATTTTATAGTTGTTTTTATTGCACTTTATTAATTTCAATTAGAAATCTTTACAATAGATCTTTTTATAAAATACATATTCTTTTCTTTGCTTTTCAATGTGGGATAAACATCCCACTTGAAAACACTTTCTTCACCACACTTAACTTATTATCTATCTAGATCATGTTTTTCTATATCAAATAATATTATTTTTATTATTTAAAATTGATCTATTTAATTTGTCGATTCTTATATAAATTCTTATTAAATTATTTTTTAATATTTGTTTTTATATAATTTTTTATAATAAATATGATTTATTTTTCATTAGGTATGGGTTTCCAAATTATTTTTTTTCATAAATAAATAAATAATTATTTTTAACAATTTTATAGTTGTTTTTTTTTGCACTCTATTGATTTCAATTAGAAATCTTTACAATAGGTCTTTTTATAAAATTTCTATTCTTTTCTTTGCTTTTCAATGTGAAATAAACATCCCATGAAAACACTTTCTTCACCACACTTAACTTATTATCTATCTAAACCATGTTTTTCTAACATATATATCAAATAATATTATTTTTATTGTTTAAAATTGATCTATTCAATTTGTCAATTCTTATAAAAATTCTTATTAAATTATTTTTTAATCTTTGTTTATATATATATATTTTATAATAAATATGATTTATTTTTCTTTAGGTATGGATTTCCAAATTAGTTTTTTAATAAATAATTAATTAAATAATTATTTTTTAATAATTTTTTAGTTGTTTTTATTGCATTCTATTAACTTCAATATATTCCTTATAAATTATTTTTAAAAAATATTTTTTTGATTTATACTGCATATTGTGATTCCTAATTATGGTCATGATGAATGAATTTTTTTGAAATCAATGCTTTTATTAAAAATTATCTATACACCTGTATACATAACACCAATGATTTACATTTAAGTTTTTTTAATATTCTAAAATTAATTTCTTCCAAATAAAATGATTAAAATAATTTTTTAGAATAACCATCCAATTATTTCGTTTTTTCTTTCTTTCTTTCTTTATTATTATTTTTTTCCTATTTTGTTTCATTCGCCTCTAAACCAACAAAACCATCAAACGATCATCTCCTAGTTTGGCTGTTATAGCTCACGAAAAATCTATCCTCACCCATACTAAAAAATCCCCAAACCATCTGGCATGTAGTACGTACCCTGTCTGCAAAGCATTACAAAGCATAAGGGCAAGCTAATGTCCTTTCCAAGATTCACGCCCTTTACATGGCTAACCATGAAAACAACAACAAAGAAAAAAAGAAAAGAAAGAACAGTAGCAAAAAAATAAGAAGGGAGTGGGTTTGGTACTAAAAAAAGTGAACGATGGAGATGAGTGGAAATAAATGAAAGGTCAAGATCAAAAGACACTTGGGATATATAATTCGGGGCAAGTTATCAAAAAAAAAAAAAAAACACTTTTAGTCTTTAGGTTATATATATATATATATATATCACTTAAAAATTCAAAAAAAATCATTATATAAATTATATCAAAAAAATTTAAAAGCAAATAATCATATTCTAAAAATTCATCAAAATATATATATATATATATATATATATATATATATATATATATATATAACCATGTTATATCATTTTAAAATTAAAATAATTTGTTATATAAATTATATCAATTTTTTTTTAAGAGCAAATAACAATATTCTAAAAATTTATTAAAAAATTCATATATAGATGTCTCTCTCTTCCATACCCTCTCTTCATTTCTCTCTCCTCTTAGTAGTCAAGGATCAAATTATAATATAAGTAAGTTATAAATCAAAATAAAATTTGTTGAAAAAAATGAAGAACAAAGAACAACATGAGAAAAACTTTTAAAGTATAAAATGCTTGAAAAAACCTCAAAATTATATATATAAAAAAACCATTCAATGCACATGAAAAAGGGAACGAATTATGTTGTAAACGAAATAAATACTTATTAAAAGAATTTAAATAAAAAAAATATCATCAAATAAATAATATTATACGAAGCGTGAATAGTTTAGAAATAGCGAAAACCTCATCTTTTATAAGGTTCTTTATAATTTTTTTCTAAAAATTTTTTTTTCGAAAGAGGAATTCCAAGGGTTCTTTATTTGTGTTTGTGGATGCGATGAATTGAGATTTACTTGGTTTGATTTGCTTAGATTTGGCTTCAAATGAGATTATATTTGGTCATTTCTGTTAACACTCACTATTACTTTTTAATATCCTTTAACACATTAACAAATGTTTGAGTCACCTCTACGGAGCTACAGTTGCTGTTATGATTAAGACTGATTCCTCGTCAACTCTTGGTTTGGACCTGGGATACAGCTACTGAGCTACACGAGTTTTCCTACCAGTTTAAAAGCGTGTTCTATCAGAAAATAGGGTAGCTCTATTTTTTTGCTCTCACTTCACTACTTAGCCAATTAATGCCATTTACTTCATGTTTTTAGGATAGGAAGTGCATAATGTCTTGGACCTTATTTTATTTTCTGAGGCCTCAAAGGGCTGCTTGAGCTTTGTCTTGCTACAGAGTGGCCTACGTCTCTCCTTTTGTTGTGTAGTTTAGGCTTTAGGTCCCATGAAAGAAAAAAACAGAGAAAGACTTGAGGTGAGGTAGTGCTACCTCTGTTATGGTAATGACCAGCGTAGTTCAAGATGATCCAGACTCCAGATGGACTGAAATACATGTAAACAGGCTATGGTTTTAGCTTTAATTTCTAACTTTCAACTGCAATTTCAGTGATATGATAGAGAACTAACAAGTTATGTAAGTAAATTCTGCAGTATAGGAAAAAGATGCTTTACTCTAATGGATAATAGGTTCTTTTTATTATTATGATTTGCTGTCATTAGTAATGCAAGTTTTGTTTTGTTTTCAGTTACATTGAGGAATTTTAATCCAACAGGAGCAGTGGACATTTTAAAGGATGCTTGCTACCA